CTTGTTTCAATTCATATTAATATACACACACACTCACTCTCTGGCAATAACTATTCTGAATATATAAATAAAATACGCACAATCGCATTCAGCCAACGTTCACAATCAATTTTATTCACAGTTAGTTTGGGCTCTTGTGTGTGTACTGCTGTTGTTGTTACCTCTCTGTAGTCAGGTACGATAGGTAGTACATTTCATTTCGAATTGATATTGATTTTCATTTAATTTTGGAACGGGCGGTATGCTCATGTCTATCTGAAATATCGAATTTCGAGCGTCGAACTAACATACATTCTCACTTGTGTGCTCAGCATGAAACTTCAATTGAACCTTGGAATTATGTCGATCGTGTCAACGATTCCCAACGCAAAATCTTCATCAAATAATGAAAAGGGCAAATGAAAAACTCAAACACAGCAATCGTTGCTTCTTCTGTTTTTCTTCTCGCTCGTCTAAAACTTAATTCATACAATATTCACAACATTTGTGGGCTATCGCTGAAGTTAGAGAGAAAACGTGTTAAGGTACATGCATGGCAAGGCATGGCCAGGCATGGATGAACCACTATATGTACATTCATATTTTGGATTGAGGCAAAAATGGAGCTGGGTTTTAAAATAACATTGATATTCAATGGAAGCAGAGAGAATGGAAGGAAAAGAAAAAGAAAAATAACCGAACTACCTGTCATTTCAAAATATAGTCAATGGGCTTCTTGTGTTCGCTTTGTGATTTTCAATTTTTTTTCTTTGCCAGGGTATTCTTTTGTACACTACAAAATACGGTACTCATCTACACATTCAATCATTTGGTTTGCGGCAATATATGCTTGAATTCAAATGAATGAGTAAGTGAGAGAGAGAACCATCACTTAATATTGGACATCTATGGCCAGAATGGCATTTTGACTGCTTAACATTTAACGCATCGAAATATTTTGTCGAAAGTTTCGACTTGAAAGCCGCAGATGGTTCTCGTTGAAACAGAACAACCACCACCACCATAACAACAACACTTAAACACACTGGCACATCGAACAAGTGTGCTTCACTACGCAGAATATATTGACCGAATTAGCGATAGCACTTGTCAAACCTATTGTCATGTTCAATTTTTCGGCTCTTCAGTCTTCTCATTCTGTTTCGATTTCGATTTTTTTTTTCGTACATTTTCTTCATCTTTTTCTACGCATATTTCGGTCGCTTGTGCGTATGAGCGGTTCGCTGTCAAGAAATGAATTCTAATATTCATGCTATTTTGATAATTTTCTTGAATAGAGAAAACAATAATTATTGATTGAATTCTCCATTGTTATTGCATCAAAATTGATGTGACTTTGTTTTGTGTGACATTTTGCTGTGTGAGTGTGTGTATGGATGACACAAGAAATGAGGACACGAGTAGCACGCACAACGCTAAACTTTCGATTGAGCTGAGCGTGTATATACAAATTTGAGTTAAGAGAGCTGAAAATAGAATATTGGTGTAAGCTATACATTCGTTGACATTGCTGTTCGATGTCGCTCTAATTTGATCCGGCATTTTCGATTTGAAAAGTTTTTCAATTTATTTGAGTGGAACACAAACAATTTTTTTCATTTTTCGAAAAAAAGAAGAAGACACCAACTCGACACACTCAACCAAAAACAAACTTCCAGCAGATTGTGGTGGCGCAATTCATTTACAACCGAAACAGAATCCAACAAGCGTTTCAATTAGCAACGATCGAATGAGAGAAAAACTTTTCGAAATCGGAAGAAACGTTGGAGAAAAAAAAACGACAATAATTGCATTTCAATTGTTCGATTGTTATTAATGGCGTCATTGCTCCAGATCGTTTGTCTCCCTTAATCGACGTTGAACCAATGTTCGTGTATGTATGTAAAATGTGCAGAAAAGACCCGTTCACATTTGGAGCAGTTTGAAAAGTTTTTATTCGCTTTTTTCTCCGTTTCTTCTCCGTACATGCGATTGTCACTTGACACAGTGAATTAGCCAGACGAGAGACGGTGATCGGGGGCACAACAGCAAAGCAAGTGATAATGAGTGAATGAACAGTGCCAACTGTGTGTGGGCAAATGCCAGAGATGGTATGCAAAAAATAAATAGAATAACCATTGGCAACAAATGTATTCGGTGTTGTATGTCTGTCGCCAATGTGCTCACATTTTCAACCGGGAAAATTCCCCCTCTCTCTCTATCTCCCTCGCTTTGCACCTCTCTCATCCATTCAACTGTTTTTTTTTCCGGTGCTGTGACTTTGTCTGAATGGGTTACGCAAATCGACGAATACCCACCCAACACAAAACATCCTGAAAATGAAATATAAATCGTTTTGCACATCATAAACATGGGCGCAAAATATTTTAATGAAAAACAATCAAAATGGAACTAGGTGAAGCGTTATGTGTTTGTGTGTATGGCGTGAGTGTGGACTGTGAGTGAGTGAGAGGGAGAGAGAGAGAAAATTGGAAAATGTTTCATTTACTGTTGTAAGTGCCACAAAATGAGAAACTAACAGACCGTAAATCCATTGAAAACCATTCTGAATCTATAATAAAAAATTTAATTATTCGAAATAAATGAAACAATGAACCAATGATCACTGGCAGTGATAGTAGTGATGGGCATGTCACTCAATTCTCGCTCGTCTGCTCTGGCTCTCTCTCTCTTCTTGCATATACAAGATTGATTCTCGAGAAAACAAAGCCATTTTTCATTGAAACAGATACAGTGCGGAATAGCATCACAGTATAATGTAAGAATAAGTGCGTCAAGTAACTGAAAATACGTCATCATACATTTGGAAAAGTAAGTCATTGAAACAGAACATGATGCAAAAAATTTTCCCGGAAAATCTTTCTTGAACATTCCGAAACAGTAAAGATTTCATTTGGGTAACATTTGAATTAATCCATTTTGTGTGTATATGTATATCGCCCATAGGGAACAGTGCACGCCAAAAGACAATGTGGAACGTGCGTTGGTAAGTGACTTGCTATTATATTTCAATGCCGGATTGTCATTACTTCCACGAATTGGGGGGAAATTGTAATTAGAAATTACGATAAGAACCAACTTTATTTCCACTTGTTTGAAAGTTGAATTAAAACCATTTATTTATTTCAATTGACGGAATTAAAAAGAAGCGCACACTCCGGCAAAATAATACGTCACCGTTGTACCATTTCAAGTACACACAAATTTCTAATTTGCTTCCAATTCTTTTTTTCAAAACCGTCAACTTTTTTTTTCTATATTCTCCTGTTCTTCGCCATTCGCGGCTGTTTCGTATTTGAATTTCGTGTAGCGTTTGTTAGAATGTTCCGTACGTGTAAAGAATTCCATTAAACTTTTTTTTTGTTTTCATCGTGAAAAACAGAAGGGAATATTTATATGGAAGAAATAGACGAAAAGAAGGACCGACCATAGAATTTTGACATTGCCTATAAAACAAGGAGAGACGAAGAGAGAGAGAAAAAACGGTTCGCTTGATAAAACTCGTAAAACACCAACAATAACAACAACAATTTCAATGGCAATGAGGAAAATCAATACAGAAAAACATCAAAATTTCGGTGTACACAATCAAAACGAGAGAGAGAAAGAGAGAGAGAGAGCGCTGGAGGAGGCGATGAAAACGTGCGACGACGGGTCGCAGTGTGTAAGAGTGCAGATTATGGAGTTTTATCAGTGAACGAAACGTGTATATATGAATTGTTATACTGATTTTTTGGATGGGTTGTTTTCGGGTGCTGACGTCACACTAACACACAAAATATCGACCGATTTCGACCATACGTATATATATGCTGTGTATACACAACATACACAGTACGGATGTCATGCTATAGCATGCCATGCTCTCTTTGTTGTCCATTGTATAGAGTAGTGGTACTGATACCGTTAAGGAATTACGTATGGAGCATGGTCATCGAAAATATTTTCCGAGATGTATATACGCACTCGACATTGTTCTAATAACCAGAGCGAAAGAGAATTCGAGCTCAATTGCAATTGTAGCTACAGCAAATACAGTACAAAAGAAACGAGTGTACGATGGAGCAGGCATACGGGCTTTTTTGTTCGCTCTCCCTTGCTTGCTTCGGCCACAACATAGTGAGCGAGTGAACTAGCGAAAAAAGAGCCTTGGCGCTCTGGCTGAACCAACAACAACAACAAATCGACTCCGGCGGCGACTGTAGTTGTGTTTGCATACACTGCGAGAGATGCTTAGTGAAGCCGATAAAATTTAGTTACATAAACGCCAACTCTCTCTCTCTCTCTCTCTCTCTCTCTCTCTCTCTCTCTTTCTCTACCACACTCACTGTGATGATGTGATACAATTGTTAAGCGGTGATGATGTGAAGTGTATCGCTTAAAGTATTCTTTGGAATTTGTTTCACTTTTTTGTGTGTTCAATGTTTGGATTCATTTTTCATTTCATTTTACCAGTGCGATCCATTGAATCAAACTTGGGAATATATTTATTATGCGCTACGGTGTGTGTGCGCGCATTTTTCTCACTTTCTTCATCCACAATTGTCTAACGATGTTATTCTGTCGCTCTCAAGGTCGAATTTTCCACAGGTTCATAGCAGAACAACCATAGAACACAGACGAATTGTGTACGGATTAGACTAAAATGAAGATGGCACAGTAAAAAAAACAGTACTTTGTCTAGCTCACACGCCCATTTACAAACAGAAAATGTCATAGGTCGATAAATCAATGGAAATGCAAACTAATTAATTATATAGAGTACACAGTACAAAAGATAATAACAAAAGAGAGTGGGAAACACAAGAAGTAGTCGTTTCAATTAAAGGCATTCCATTTTTTTATACGGAAATCTACTGTACTTGCAAGGGTATAATATATCTACTCGTTTGTTCTCTTTTCGCTCGCATATTTAATGTACTTCGGTTGCTAGGGATTTTCTTTATCAGTTTTCAGATTGGGGAGAGGGGACGGGGGATTAATATGTGATCATAACATACCTCCAGAAATTTATCATCGCGGCTGTTGCTCATGTTTACAAAATCTATTTTCGTCCCACGTTTTCCACAAATCGGTATGTGAGGCTCTCCGCGGTATTGATGAAAACACTTGAGAGTTATAGACCGTTTGTTCGCAAACAAAGGTGTAGGAGGAAGTGTTCGCGATAACATAATTTCATTAAAATTCGATGTCTTTATGTTGCACGGTCGAAATGAACAGCTGTGGCTCATTCTTGATTGATTAGCTTTGGCAGCGTCAGCAGCAACAACGACGGTGTGTGTGTCTGTGTGTGGCGGTGGTGTTGATAGGTCAATGGTTCATTGGAATTTCAAATAGATTCAATATTTAATTTGTGGCTTTTCATTTTTTCAAATCGATTCGCGTTTGGATTATTGCACGTTGGGGGCAAGTCTACTGCATTTGTTTACTTGTGAACGCGCGCTCGCGCCCTCTTGTTCTTCAATAACACTATCGATTTCTTCCTTAACCATCTGAATGCCGAGCAAATTAGAGTCGATTATCTTTCACTGTCTGTGATGTGAGTTGAGAACAAAATGTTGTTCCGCTTTTATTCGATGCAAAGAGTTCAAATTACAAATAATTTTTATGTAGGTGATAATGAACGTGTTCGTCTCTCACACACACAGCTCATGGTGTTTGCCATTTCTGTTTTTAACTTCATCAAGGGCCATTACATCGATTAAATTTTTGCCATTTGCCATTGCCACACAGCTTAGTGCTGTTGCGAATGTTGAATTGTGGCTTCTGCTCAATTTATCGCTTGACTTCCATTCAGCCTCGGTCCGAGAGGCTTTCACTCATACATAAAAACACACATTGAAAACATTTTGTCACCGCACCACAAACCTCTGGGTTGTACTGTTCTTTCTCTCCTGTCTTCTGAAACAGCGGAGACGGCGCAGCGCAAGTGAGCGAGCGATAGAACGATAAAGGTGTTTCGGTTTATAATCTGATTAATAACATCAAGTTCGAATGTTTATGTGGTTTGTCCCGAAATTGTTGACACCAATTATCCTCCCGCCGCTCGGTATCGAAATAGGGATACAAATCGAATTTTGAACCAATAAATTAAAATGTCATGAGTAAGAGCCACAATGAGCTGTTTATATGGTCGATGTTGTCATATTTGAAGTGCTTAAAAAAATTGTGTCTTTTTTCCCTCTTTGGTTCGATTGGGAACGTTGTCACGTGATTTTTAAAACACACTCACATGATCACGATTGTAAATTTATTGCTCAGAGATACATTGGACATTTCTCTCTTTTTTCGCACGCACATTTTGTTTGTTTTTAGGACTAAAAAAACGTATCGACTCATATGACTCTTGACACATTCACACACAGCCGCGAAAAGTCTTCAGTTTTTTTTTTTTTGAAAATAAAATATAAATACGGTCTTGCAAATTAAACACAACGTTTCTTTTTCTTGTCCCCTTTTCGATTCACATTCCGAATAAATAAAATGAAGAAAAATAAACTCTGGCAAAAGTTCAATCCAGTTCATGTAGTTGCTGTTTTAGATTTTGGTTACTTCATTTGTTATTCGTCGGTCGTTAGCGATGCGTGCATGTTCAATAAAAATCGATTAGTCTATTTAGCTCAGCAGCTTTTATCATTTAGTAATGTCAAAGTCAATGCTATTAGTAGATTTACAGGAATTTCTTTCTCTAAAGGTGATTTGTTACTCTGTTGCTTTGCCGTAAACGTCGATGATGATTTTGCGGTTTATGTGATTGTGAGCTATTATTTCAATATACTTATTTATGTGTGACTATGATTAAACTCTTTGATTTCATTTGTTTTTTGTTTGTTGGTTAGACGTCGATTAAACATGCGAATGGTGAATGTCATATGATTATTTGTATATTTGTTTGTTTTGAGGCGATCCTTAAATATTATGATGAATAAATGAGTATGAGAAGCACAACTGGACAAATAGAGAATGGGCTTTGCGATAGCCGATGGTGGTGATGATGATGATGATGATGGTGAGCGAGTGTCACACACTGAGAGTTGAATGACATATAAGTACCGAAAGCCAAATTCAGTTCGGTTTTTTTTGGTTTTTTTTTGTTTTGAAAAATCGTATGCTTACATTCAAATATGCATAATCCAGAGCTGGAGCTGATGCTACGTAGTTTGTTGTATGATGAATAAATCCGACGGTTTTTGCGATGGCTGGTGTCGTAGGTGCTCACAACGAGCACCGGTTCGCTAGTATTGATTGTGCATGAATGTTTGCAGGTTTTTTTTATGCTGGTTTGTCTGCTGCTGCTGCTGCTGTTGTTGGTGCCGTCGACTTTTTTCTCGCATTTTTTCTGGTGCATTGACTTTCAATTGCAATTGATTTTTCTTTCTGTTTCGGTTGGGTGTCTGCATGGTGTTTTCGCTTGCATATCTCTGCACTCATTTGCATTATTCTCACGATGATGTATGTGTGTGGCTTTGACTTTTACTTTTCATTCTACTTCCGCTTCGCGATCTCGTTATGACTATTTTTTTTTGTGTTCAAGCTCCCTCTCGCTCATTCGTGTTCCATTTTTGCGGTTTGAACTGTTCAATTTTTATTCTGTTTGGTTGTTGTGAATGTCCATTTAGTGTTATGTTCCTTGTTATTATTATTACTATGTTTTTACTTTACTTGTTTTTTTTTTAAATTATTATTTATAAAAACGAATGAAACACACAGACGCACAATTTGTTTAATTATTACTTTTTGTTTGTTTTGTTTTTCTTCTTCATCTGTTTAACACAAAATTCATTTATCAGTTATATTTAAATGTATTTTATATTAAATATATCCCAATGATAAGAGTCTAAAATTCGGCAAATTCCTTGGCGCATTTTTCAGTACTTGAAATTCTAAGGGTTTCTTCTTCGTAATCGTCGAAATTGCTAGTATCACCAGCGCCCTTGCATCTCGGTATGAACGGCGCTTCGATTTTCTTTTGGAATACGGCTATCCAATCGGTTGATGCAAACCATTTGTGATTCTTGATGTCATTTACGCCCGCTTTCAAATTGCCATAACGTTTGGTTAAATCGACTTGCAATAGATTCCGTAGCAGATCCTTGAGATCGGAACCGAAATGCGATGGGAATCGTACTTTGCCCGACACAATTTTCTCGTAAATTTGAATCGGTTGATCGGCAAAAAATGGCGGATAACCGGCGGCCATTTCATAAACAAGTACACCAAGTGCCCACCAATCGACGGCTTTGTTGTAACCTTTGCTGAGAATAATTTCGGGCGCCAAATACTCGGGTGTACCGCACAATGTCCATGTACGGCCCTTGACACGTTTCGCAAACCCAAAATCGGTCACTTTGAGATAGCCCTGCGAATCGATCAATAGATTCTCTGGCTTTAAATCGCGATAGATAAGATCTAAATAGTGCAAATACTCAAATGCAAGAACGATTTGTGCGGCATAGAAGCGTGAGTGTGGCTCAGAGAATCGGCCGACTTTGCGTAAATGTGAAAACATTTCACCACCTGGCACATACTCTAGCACCATGTACAAATTAGAATTGTCTTTGAAGTGATATTTGAGGCTGACTAAGAATGGAAACGAGATGGCTTGTAGGATTCGTTTCTCATTCAATGTGTGCTCTACCTGCTTCAATTTCACTACTTTTTGTTTGTCGAGAATTTTCATCGCATAAAAACTGCTGCTCGGCTTATGTTGCACAATCATGACACGACCAAACGAACCGGTGCCCAGCGTTTTGATTCGCTCAAAGTCGTCCAGACAGGCGGTATTGGTCGGATTTCGCTTCCACTTGTCCTCGAACTCCTCTTTGGCCTGTTCGAGGAACTCTTTGACGCTTTCGGCGGCGTCGACCTTTTTGTTGGCCGATGTTGCGTTGTTACCCATTTCTATTGAATTTAAATCCTTTTTCGAGTCCAGCGTGTTCCACTTGTAATTTTTTTTATTGGGCTTCTTTTCACCGTTTTCTTTTTCTCTTTATATTTCTTTTGAATCCTATATCGATTTTTTCTTCTCTATCTCTCTCTTTACTCGCAGTACAAAACTTCCGATGCAATCGATTTTTCAAATTCGCTCGTCGCTGTCTCCCTCAATATGTATTTATATAGCGGAAACTTTTCGCTTTGAACTTCCGATTAAGTTTATGATTCGCGCGCGCACACATACACTGATCCAAATCGTATTCAATACACTAGAACAAAAAAAATTCTCTTGCTGATTGCTGTTCTCTTCGTTAAATATAAATTCGCATAGTGTATTTATGATGATGACATTTATGGAAAACACATATAGAATAGCAATAAAATGAACTGACGACTAAAACTGGGAAAAAAAAAATATTTGTGTATGTCTACTTCTTTTCCGTGTTGTTTTTTTTTATTCAAAAAACAGTAACCTAATTTGCGATAAATATTATCGATAAATTAAATTCTCTCGCTTGTCGCTGTGTTTTCTTCTTCTTCTTTTTTCGTTCGGTTTCTCAATGATTTTCTCTTGAATTTTTAATTACTGTGTTCACATTTATCTTTAAGTTCCAGTGTTCGAGACTGTGAAGGACTTTATACTCTCTGTCACTCTCGTTTTACTATCAAATTGGAATTTAAATAAGAATTCCCGCACAAGTGAATTGAATTTTTCTTTTCTTTTCTTTTTCTTCTTCTGTTCCCGTGCTTAGGTTTATTATTTTTTTTCTCTCGTTCGCTGGCTTATTATGATTGGTGATGTTGTTGTTGATTGTTGTTTATCAGCCGATTTATAAATTTGATCCGAAAAAAAAAATTCACAATTTGTTTATTTTGGTTGGATGTTGTTTTTTTCTCATATAAACATTTCGTCGAAGAAGAAACGAAAAAAGAGAAGAATAATTTATAATTTTTTTTCTATTTGTTTCCTCGTCTTTTGCTAACGACGGTTCACTTTGCACACACAATCCCATACACAGTTTTACTCTTTCTGGCCACTTTACCAAAAGTGAGAAGAAAAAAATAACCCGAGAAAAACTGGCTATTGACTTGACGTTCAATACGCGGAGCTCTGCAAAATGGCGACTGCTGAAATGAGAAATCTCCTATACTCGATACAATCTTTTTCTTTCTTTTCTCTTCAGTCTCACCGAAACCAATATGAATTGGTCACATACGGTCGACCTTGTCTGCTCCACAGTATTACTACTCTCATTTCGAAGTGGCTCATCGTTTGGGGAGGATCTGCGCCGTTCGACATCGCACTGTCAACTCAATGACATCTAGCCCGATTTGAGTTGGAAAAAAGCTGGGAAAAATGCTAAAAAATTTGGAATTTGCTAAGTTTTTAAATTTATTTTCTTATTCGAAAGAAAAAATTAGAAAATGTTCAAAACAGAATGAAAAAAACGAATGAAAATCGACAGAGTTCAATGTATGACAGCCCTGCGTCAAAACGGTTCAGTTTCAGCCGTCGTTCGTTGTGTGACGTTTAATGCTCGGTTCACATAACACTGTGTTCGCTTGTATTTCTATTTTCAGTTACTGACGGAATTTCACATCGAAAAAATAATTTATCCAATTTAATTGAATTTTGCGATGATTGCCAAAGAATGTATGCTCATTTCTGGCTATTTATATTCAATACGATACACCGTTTCGGTGTGCATTTGAAAATGTCAATTTGGCTATAAACAAAATTGAATTTACTGCCCTCTTTTTTCCGATGCAATTAGAACATGTTACAGGCATAAATAATAAATGTTGCTGTGGCAATTGGAAGTAAAATCAATTTTCTAGCATCGATTTCAACACACATCCATACATATTTGAACACAATGTGTGTGGAAAATGTTTGTGTCGCTTTCGTTGTTGCAATTGTTGCTGTTGATTGGATAAAATGCAATGTAGTTTGCGTGTGTGTGTGTGTGTGTGTGTGTTTGTGCTATACCAAAGAAGATATCGATTGGTATAGTTCCGTAGCATCATTATTTTCATGGATAGTTGATGTCGATAGAGACGGTCGTTTCATTGACGCGAATCTGTAAATTGGATTTTGTACCACAAAATAAAATGTCATAAGAGAGCACCCAACAGCATACAAAGCAACTATAAAGTCCGTCTATCTCTCTTTCGCTGCAGAAGCGTCGAGGAAAGTCAATTTGAAATTCCGTTTTGGAAATTGGTCTCACTTCGATCGTGAGATTCTCTCCATCGAAACACACACAGAAAATGCATTGTAATGCATAGTCCACAATTGGACGATACGTGCAGATACCTACCATATAATGTGGTTGTACATCATGGGCTACCATTTGATAGAAATGAACCATTTCGAAATGAAAACGGAGAAGACAACGAAGAAGAAAAAGAGTACACACAAAATGTGTCTTCGTTGTTTGTTGGTAAGGTCTTTTTTTATGATACAAAAAGCACAAACATACTCACACACAGGCAAATATTTTTTTGTATGGATGAAGACGAAGAGCGAAGAGTGAAAGACGACAGAAGAAAATAGCAGAGCTCAAGCAGATAGACAGTAGAATACACTCAAAAGGCAAATTGGATGAGGTATATGGATACAAATATATATACAAAAAATGTGAAATGGTTTGCGCTTTGCTCCGCGCTTGCCGGTCGGTTAGAACAAATCGACGACATACGTACCTCCGCTGCTGCTTTGTACAATGTTCGTTATACATTTCGTGAGGCCGAGCTGCAGTTTATGCGAACGATTTGGAATCGACATACCGCCCAAACTGACTCTTTGACTCTCTCGACGACCGAACACAAGAAAAGCAAAAGTTAAACTCATTTTTTTTAGCGTATAGAGAGAGAGAGAGAGAGAGAGAGAGAGAGAGAGAGACCTAATTTGCGCTAAAAGAAACGATAGCAAAAATGTGTGATATGAATGCCAACACTGATTTGGTTTAGCAATTAGTCATCACACTGTATGGTGATGATTCGGCGAATCGATTTGTTGTTTCGCCATGCTATAATTCTTAGTCTCGAGTGAACATTGTGGAATGGTTATTGTTTTTGTTCTCATAGTTCACTGCAGAATTCCCTGGAATTTTTACTTATGCTTATGACACTTTTTGCAAATATTCTGACGACGACAGCGGTGGCGGCGATGGTGGCAATACACACACAACAAATACGTTCCGGATTGTTTTGAATTTCCTAAACACGATAAGCAATAAACGACACTAAAAAAACCGACGATATTAATCTTATTTCGTCTACACGAACAAACAAAAAAACATGTTTTAAGTTACCGCATCACATTTGGCAATGCGAAATAGATATTATTCTTCGCCTAGTCGTGTTATCGCAGAATAGCTGCCAATACATTGAGAGATTGATACAAAAAGTATCTTAAAATAGCACCGCATCTTCGTCGTCGTCGTTGAAATGCGGCGAAAATGATTCTTTTTTTTATTGTTTAATTGGAATAAACACTCGACTGCGAATATTGGTTTGAAACTTCAATTTATTTGTAATGTATGGAAATTGTGTACAATTCAATTTGTATACATTGAATAAAAATGGTCTTATTTCAGCTGTCTATTGTAAATGTGTGGGTTTTCTTAATTGCGCAAAAAGACGCTTTTTAATGAACTGACTTTTCCGAACGAAAATTCATCAGAATATATTGGTATTTTTTGATTGATACAGGAACCAGTAATGTAAACAAATTTCGGACTTGGTTGTACACAACCCCTAAGTAACACATACATATTCATATATTGCGAATAAACAATTAGAATAGAATCTGTACTATTTTTTGTTCTATTTTTTTTTTTGATGTGACAGTGATTTGGCTGAATGGATGTAAGTAAAATAAGAAAAAAGAATGTAATTTATTCCGGTTGATTTGGGGCTTAACAGGTGGTCGCACCGTAAATAATCAAAAGAAAAAGTCTACTCACTCTTTCGCACAATCTAGACCAACAACTGTCAAAAATCGCGCCAAAATGCAACCGTTTCTGCTTTGTTTTCTGTTCTTTTTCAATATTTGTCGCCCTCGTTTCAGTTTTGTGCACTCAACCCAAACTTTATATTGCGAATGAATGAACAAATGATGATGCCTAATTTTTTCTGTCGGAAACAAGTATTCCCATGGACTTATGATGTGTGGATGTTGCACCCTAATGAAAAAAATGACTGAAAACACGCACGCTTGCATGCAATTTTGGCTCAAAAATTCGCATTTTCCGCCATTCGATACAAAGAGAGAAAGAAAATCACTTTGCATAATGGGCCGAGAACAGAGAGAAAGCATGCCGAAATGTCTGCAGAATGTTGATTAGCGCGCGAGAACAATGCGATAAATCAGTGCTGTGCATTTCCATTCGGGGAATTGCGTGCAGTGTCGAACAATTGCATAATTTATCGTTTGCATATATATTCAGTGTCAGATCGAGGAATCCGGCCACAGCCGCACTTTGTGTTCGAAAGTTTTTAACCCAAATGGAATACAATAACCAACCCGAAACAAAGAGAGAGAGAGAGAGAGAGAGAGAGAGAGAGAGCACGAACGACTTCATTTCAATTCGAAATCGCAACGACATCAATTCAGTTCACAGACTCACCTTCATCATTTCTTTTCAAACCATTCGACAGGAATTATTTTTGACTCTCTCTTTCACTAAACCATTCAACAAGAATTTGGTTTTCTCGACAACAGCGCTTTCGTCGTTTCCTCGACTATCAGAAAAAGACACAAAGAAAAATCTCAGAGAAATCGATGTTTTTTACGGTTTTGTTTCTTTTTTTTATTTTTCTACGTTGGTATTGTTATTGTATTTGTTTTTTTTTTAATTTCATTTTAGCTAAATAAAGTGCGTATACGTAAGTAAGTACATGAGCACGAAATATTTGATCATACTCATTGCGTCGATGAGTTTCTATTTATCGGAGGGACGAGATTTGTATCAACAAATGTCTTTTAATACTTTGTTTCTCCTAAAAATTAGGATTGTTTGGTATCGGGCTATACATAGGAAAATTGAAGCACCGAACGCGAGAAAATATTCAAAATAAATAGAATCCGAACGAGTGATCAAATATTTAAAATGCGCACATTTTCGCTTGGGTTTGTTCAAGGTTGTTGTTTCGAGGCTCAAGAAACCACTTCAGCTGTTGTTGTTGTTGTTGTTTTTTTCTGTATATTTATTTTGAAGAAAGGACAATTCAGCAAAACGTGGGAAAAATGAAGTCAAATAAAATAATAATCAAATCATAGTTTACATCAAAATGAAAACAACAAAACCCCCAATTTGTTTGGATCCGATGTTTAGAGAAGAGCTCGTCGAACACAAAGCTTTGATTCACCGGACAAACCGACGACGATATGTTGCATATTTTTCTTTTCTATTGATTACTGAATATCAGCAAACGAACGCAATTTGGTTGTATCCCAACACCACACACAACAATACTTGGAACACTGCATTTTCGAATGATTTCGTGTGAAAATAAGAACGGAATGAATGATCGATATTGTTTGAAATTGAAACAAAGATGAAACGGATTCGATGACGACTCAAAACATTCACTCCGTTTCAAAATAATTGATGTTCAACGAAATGCTTCCTTTGGATATTAAAACAACGAAACCATCTAGATCGAAGAATAAATCCTATGGATGAAATGCGATTGTTAAACGATTTCGAGTGTCATGTGGTGTATGATGTGTGTGCGGTGTGAATGTGTGAATTGTGTGATCGTATGATGGTGTGAAGGATGCATGTACAGATTCAAATATAAATTGAACATTTTTGTTTGTTGTTGTTTGTTTTTTTCTTTCACTCTTGACTAATTATTATAGATCAATTGAGAAAATCCACTAAATACGCTTAATTTAACGAAAAAAAGAAGTTTACTTTTCTCTTGAATTTTCCTTCATCTTCTTTCTCTGTTTGTTGTGTGTTGTTTGTTTTCATTTCAATTGATTTATTATCTTACTTATTTCATTTTAAACTTTCCTCTTTCTTTTCTTTTCGTTTAAATCATTTATTTGTTTTATTAATTACTTCATTTTTAATTAGATTCTTACGATTTAAGATACTTGTTTGTATGATTTTGTTTGTTTGTAATGAATAATCTGTACGTTCAGTTTTGAAATGGATGAATCAATAGGAAAAGAAAAAATAATAAAGAATACAGTGAAAAAAACCGAGTCCACATTTACAAAAAAAAGATCTAATGCTGGGAGATAGATGTTTTGTCCGTTTTTTTTCCTAAAAAATATTTCTCTATTTTTTTTCTCGTTTCTCTGCGTGTATCTAAATCTTTGTCCTTTTTTATTTTCCTCAATATAAGAATTGGCTGTGTGGATGGTCGATTTTTGTTTTTTTTTTATCAAAAAAAAAAATAAGTAATCGTTTTTTGTTTTGAAAATGAGATGGATTGTATTATCTTCAGTTTTTTTTTATTCTGTGTATGGATGCAATCTTATCAGTGTTTTTTTTTTGTTGATTGTTTTTTTTTGTATTTTAATTTTTTTTCATGTGTCAATTTTGTTGTTTTTTGTATGTGTGTGGTGTGTGTTTGATTTTTGTTGTTGTTGTTTCGTCAGCCCAATTTAGGCAACCACTTCTTCGGCGCCACCATTTTCGTGAGCAACTTCCTCCACCTTGGATTTCTTTTCGGGTGTTGGGGCTGTCTCGTCGGCAACGGCTTCAGCAGCGTCGGTTTCTTCAACGGCTTTTCGCTTGACGGCTTCTGGGGCAGCTTCTAAATACACCAATGAAAGAACGAATGGGAAAATGAAAACAATCATTAATGGAAATCAATATTAAAAAAAAAAAATCAATGTTTTTTTCTGATTGACAAGTGGCTAAACGTATTTTCAAAAGTGAAACGACGATAAGGGACAAAATTTAATAAGTAATCGATTGACAACATTTCTTGTTCTTTTATTTCCGAAAACATAATGTAAAATGTTCATTTCCTCAATATAAACACGATGTGGGCACATGTGGAAGCAAGTGCTTGTGGTTTTGTGTATAGAAACGAATTAGGAACGTGCTAGTTTCACGGGTTTCGTTTATTTTTTCCATTCTTCACAGAAGTTTCACCGAGTGTAAATGAACTTGATGCTTTTCAAGGTGTTCGAGAGAGAGAGAGAGAGAGCATTGTTTGGCAGACCAAAGAGATGAAAAAGAAAGATCATTGATGATTATATTTCGGTTCGGTGCTGAATGTGTCTTAGATTTCGAAGCCACTTGTTCGCATACACACACTGAGGTATTACCATAAGAAAAAGTAGCCAATCTTTTGTGTACTTCAGAAAAATGTTATGGTGTACGTTGAACCCACGATGGTTTTTCTCTCTAGCTCTCTCTCTCTCTCTCTCTCTCTCTATTTCATTCTCGAAGTGGAAAAAATAAAATTTAATGGTCTCAACAGCGTGCGCTGCGAGAGCGCATTCGTCCAAAACGCGCGATGAATGTACGCAAGAACCAGCTAATTGCGAGTTTTAGAATGAGCAAATTACTTCTTAGCTGTTGATATTTTTTTCCCTTCTAACATTGTACAACGTTTTTTTTTTCTCCATACAACGTGCGCGCTGCTCAAGAGTTCCAAGCGAGTACATCTAAAATCACTGGATTTGATCGGTGAAATTAGGTTGATTGTTTTGCTGCGCAATTCTGTTTTTCTTTTGTCTCTTTCTCTTTGATGTGTTACGATATTTTACATGAAAAAACTGTATATTTCCCTATGCACACAACGACGAATGCCGTCAGCGAAAGGCATTAGCGTCATAAAACAAAACAAAACGCGGGCCCGATTCTTGATGTGATTTACGAGACCAGTATAGAAAAGAGCGATTGTATTGTAAATTTTTCAACAAAGATAATCTAAGCGCAAAATGGAAATGTTGAACAAACTCACACGTACGCCGTGTGTACTCTATGTGGTTACTATTTTGTGGGTAACAATTTGTCTTTTCTTTTCTCGAATTAGCCAAACATAATAAAAGGGGTCTGTTTTTTCTGTGTCAAATTTACTTACCGGTACTGTCACCATTTTGGACATCAACTTCTTCAGCCACTTTGTCTTCTTCGGTGGTGTCTTCTTCTTTTTTTTCTACACCATTTTCTTCTGTTTTGTCGGCAACGACGGCTGGTTCAGCGACGGCGGCTTCCTCACCGTTGCCGTTTTCAACGACTTCGTTTTCCTCGTCAACAACCTTTGGGGCATCGACTTCGACGACCTCCTTTTCGACAACTGGAGATTCCCTGTTGTTTTCAAGTGATGATCACAAACGAAACGAAACCAAAAAAAAAGAAAAACAGATACCAAAAATAGTTAGTAATCACGTTTTAAAAAGAGGTAAATAACCGATGAAACGAAATAGCAACAAAAAAAAACGAACACTTTTGGCAATTAATTATATTCAATACATTCGCACAAAGAGTCATACAATGCTCATCCCGGCATACATAGTGAGTTGGGTTGTGTGTATGTGTGTTTCGGCGAAAAATAACGACAATTTGTATTTGCAAACGGTCGCTTTTGCGCAATATGTAGCAAGAATAGAAAAAAAAACGGAGCCAAAGAAAATGAGGGAAATTCGGTACATAGTAACGCTTCTATGTTTTGTGTATGCCGACACGGCACACCAACACATGTACCATTTTCATTTTGGCGGTTCACTCGCAAACGATGCTTTCAGTCGATATAGCATCGATTTCTGTCTGTATATACTACAACGCACATGTGTACGTACACAGCCGACATCGAAATAGACAAACTGTTTGCGTGTGTATTAATTTTTTATTTTTTTTTTTGGTGTATGAAAAATAACGACAGTGAAGTTTCTGGAAAACTACAGCGTGGTTTCGATTTTGGCGTCACAATAAACATACACACAGTGGAGTTTCGAATGGCTTGCGTACACGTTTGCGCTCACTCATTCTCGGTGTATGATCCGCATCGCAAATGCGTGTCTGTACCTTCAATTCCTTTTCTACTTTGCCGTTTAGCCTGCGTTGGTTGGAGCAGGAGATGTTTATCTTATTCAGCTGTTCTAACGCATACATTATATGGTATTAGAATTGGTGATTGCTCAACACAAAAGTGCTTGTGCGCGTATATGTGCCTCTCATATACGAAACCATCGTTTCCGTTGAGTTATTATTTTTGGGCGCAAAAATCCCAAAGTTAATGGCTACGTATACATAAAACATGTTCGTTCCTGTACACACCGTCCCCAATACACACACCCGGCAACCGACGGAAGTTTGGCAATGGAAAATTTTTGGAAGTTTTCAGTCCAAATACCGGGTAGCGATAAAATTTGAAAAGTAATCATTTTCAAATGATGCTGATGATGATGGTGATGAATGTTTGGCTCGAAAGAGATTGAGAGTCGATTTTCAAATGGGAATTCATTCAAATAAATTTCCGCATAAGTGCGGTAAACAGTGAAATTGGTTGTTTACGTGAAAAAAACGGCTCTATTCAACACATTCCACACTGAGAGAAACGCATTTCATTGATTGTTATTATAATCAATGGTTACGATTTAGTTTTTATACCAAAATAATCTAAATAAAAACAAAAGCAACAAGTTTTACTATGCACAACAAAATGAGTGCATTTTTTTCGTACTCACTGCTATTCTTCGTTTTTTTTCCCTTTCTGAATCGCTTAAAACGTAAGTTTATGTGTAGTTTTTTTTTCGTTTGTTTCATGCAATCATTGTTATGAGCCCATAAAATAATGTTAAATGTGTGCCAGTTCAACGTTGTGCCGTTTATTCACACGCACATACATACAGTATGATTTGCGCTTTAGCAATTCGCTGAACATTTATGAATTACGAACGAACGAATGAACGAAACAAAAAAGTTCGTGTTATAGCCGACGCTGAACCAAATATGCGAACCGAAGAGGAGCGACAGAGATGAAACGATCGGCACACAACGCAAATACGGTGTTTATAATTTCGCTTTGTTTTGCGGCAGCATGTGCAAACCGAAAATTTGAATTTGAATTCAAATTGTTAACGTATTCGCAACACATGGAAACACACAAAAAACCTGAATTCTCGCTAGATTCGAGCGATAATTGTGTTTACTTGAGCACAAAAAAAAAAGAAATGAAAGAAGAACGGCCAATGAGACAGACAGAAGGAGAAAAAGAAACAGTGACATTGGACCGATTTTGTTTGTTCAAATGGCTTTACTTAAAATAAATCGACCCAAGACGAACTGTATTTGTCTAAATGTCGGCGGAGCGCGTGGATATTTCCGAAAAAAAGAAGACCAGAAGATTACAACAAAAGTAACAATGCTTTTATGTGAGAACATCATACAAAAAAGGCGGCTAACTTAAAGTGGTTGAGGCATAAATGTGTGCACGTTGCCGCCAGCCGAGAGTCACCATGTGCTCCGAAGATGCGTTTAAGTTGAAAGGAGAAGGAAGTACGTCAATAATATAATTGAGCACATGCACTGCAAACGTACACGAAACACAGAAAAAAAAGCAACGACAGCTGCATGTCATTTATTTCAGCCCTCTTTCGTCTCTTGTTAGTTCGATTCTCCTTCGGCTTTTGGAACGGATTATCCAAAGTGTCTAGTTTTTTTTCTCGGGAAATGAATGCAGTTCTACGACAGAATCGTAAAAATTAAAACTTTTTTTCGGGAATTTTTCTTTTTTTCCATTGACAAATGGATTTTCCATTGTAAATGGAATTGGATTCTCTTTCTGATGAAAAAAAAAACACGCACACATAGAGGGAAACATGCTGCGTCAATGGCAATTGGCTTGACATTTGGCACAACAATCATTCTCAACAGCAAGCATAGAAAAAAAACAAAGTCAGGTAAAAATATTCCGTAGAGACGAACTTTGAAAATAAACGAAAATAGAAAATGTGCGCGCTTGTTCGTATGGAATGGTGTTCGAAATGAAATGCATTGAAAGAATATGAGAATGTGCTGACGGCAGCGTGTTTTTGCCGTAGCGCGCACGCCTCGTGTGCAGAAAAACAAATGCGAATCGCAAAAAGATATTTTTAATCATTTTGTTTGATACACAAATATCGCAAACTTTCCAGTTTTTCATTTCCTTTTTGAATGCGAATGTAAAATGTGCATTTGAAACGGAGTGTGAGTGTAAGCACGGGCTCGCTCAAGTTGAAGTGACACCAAATGAGAGAATGTGTTTTAATCGACAAAACGGCACACACAAAACGTTTCGTATTTGTGTGTACGTTGTTGTTCGGTTGTTCCAAACGGTTAAGTGCGAAAACAATAGCGAACATGGTTTTGTTGAAAAACAACCTATAACAATCAGAGCGGTATTGTAATACTAAGAATGTGCCGTGAACAAACACTGTAGCACAAAGAATTTCTCTGAAATTTAAAATGCCATGACGCTATACCGTTAGATGTTGTAATACACTTTGCACGCAAAAACATCTTTTCTTCTGGTTGTTGTTGTTGTGTTTTTTTTTGTTGATTTGGCTCTCCTTCGACATTTTCTTCGAATTTGGAACTCCACCGATGCTTCAAATGAACCACCAACAATATCGACACACACAAACACAATCTTTCTCTCTCTCTCTCTCTTTCATAGCATTTATACATAGTATCAAATGGTCGCATTCATACGTTACGCGAACTAGAGAGAAAAATGTTTTCTTTCATGACGCTGATGATGATGATGATGATGACGGTGATGATGATTGTTAGTACAGAGAAGAAGCGGTTTCAAACGGAAAACTGTGCATTTCATTCCTCCTTCATCTCATCACGCTCGTTTCCATCCAAAACGATAGCATCACATAAACACACAGTCGCTGGGTGAGATGAGAGGGAAAAAACACTCACTCACACATACACAAGAAGAGGTAGAATAGAAGAAGAGGCACGAGAGGAAGAAAAACGACAATGAGAATCGACGCTGCGATTAGTGGCGCCACCATCAAGCGAAATGGTATAAAACCAAACTAGCTCAACGGCTATTCGAACTTATATTACAAATTCAAAAAAAGTTATAGGCGAAAAAAAACATCATTTTCAATGCGATAAATGTGAGAGCGTGTGTGCGTGTGTGTGTATATGCGTGTGTGCGTTGTTGTTGTTGATAATAAATGATTAAATAGGAAAAATGCACTTTTTTTTGGCGGTCATTTGAAAATACACTGAGACAAGAAAAGAAGTAGAAATTGTTGACGCAATTGGATCGCAAATACTTTTTAATGCATACGAATTAAAATGAGACGCCATTTTATTTGGAGCTCAAAAACTTGAGAATCGTACATAACACACAACACATTCCATATTTTTACTTCGCTTCAGTTTCGTTTCATTCCGTTCCGAAAAGAACCAAAGCAACGATGAATATCGTTGAATGCGAAACTCCAACAAAATTTACTGACTCTAACTGGCTACAACACACACAAACACACACACACACCGACCGCAGCAGCGGCACCAGCACAGCAATAATGCGAACAAGCGACACCACGAAACAATATGATGGGGAAACGAAACGGGGCAGAACGAGAAAGAATGAGACGCAAAAGACATAAAGACATAGAGAATGAAGTGAATATGAGAAGAGAAAAAAAAACGTGTTCGTGCGCGTCATTTATCCAAAAATACAGTAAATGATATTCGGACGATGCGAATTTCGAACGAAATAAATTTTCAAATGATTCGTTCTCAGATCGTTTTTTTTCTGTTGTTGTTAATTTCTAATGGTGATCTGATTTTAGTAGGACAAAAAAACTTGGTATGAACACGCTTGGGATGCGAATGGAAAAATTCAAATTTTTGTGCAACCGACGCCATATTGCCGCCAAAAAACAAAGCTATATTTCTCTATATATTGCAAAAACAGCAACAAAAACAAAAAAGCACGTCTTTTTCTCGTATTCTCTGCTGCGGTTCGCTTTTTTCGCTTTTTTTCGCTTTTTCTATTACTCTCTCAACTTAATCATCATGAAACAGTCATCATCAACAAAAAAAAATTTCATCATTTTACGAAATTTGTTCGTTGAACAATTTTACGGAATTTTTTTTTCTCTTTATTTCGTGGAACTACAACGATTTTTTTTTTCTCTCAACAGAACGCAATTTTCGTTGCTTGCTTTCTTTTCGTTTAAAGAAAAATTAATTTATTGGTTTTTTTACTCACTTTTGTTCAACTGCGATATCAGCCATTTTTAGATAGTTTTTTGTTTGTTTTGTTTGAGTTTTAAATAGAGATTTAGTTTTAAATAAGTTATTTTAATTTCAAATCACACAGAAAAGTTTGCAGAGCACACTTTACGAGAACTTGATTTGCTTGAAGACAGACGCCGACTGAGAACGATTAATGCGCTACACGGACTGACTGCCGTTCTCTCCCCGTTTGGTCGTAGCACGCACACATCGACAATTGCATCGGAGCGCGCGCTTGGTATAACCAACACAGACGCACACAAACACTTTGCGAATGAGATTTTTTCTTCGCTTGTGACGAACATTTGCCGCTACAAACGACGACTGGTGGCTAGAATGAGGCAGTTGTTAGTGATGGATATTGGGGTGCGTAAGAGATGGAAAAAAACTCAATAAAATGCAAAGAGCACAAGCAGCAGCAGAAGAAGAAGAATGAGAAGAACAAAAATGCAAACGTAGTACTGGGGTAATGTAAAATTATATGCTGAATTAAATGAATATACCCGAACGTTTCACCGTTCGTGTGTGCGTGTGCTTGGGCTTGTGTTGGTGTGTATCGAATCTGTTTGGTTCATTGTACACCGAATGGTAACGCCAGTAGAGGTAGGCAACAACGTACCGGAAAGTGATGCACCCATATTAGAACCGGTTGTGTTCGAAAGAAACAAAAAAACATTTTGTGTGAAAATGCCGTGCGGCCGCTTGATTCCGGAGCACTGCCGAAAATTGCCGACTCCAGTTCCGTTAATACGCTGCAGCGACGGCAGCAGCGGCAGCAGCACGCAGAAGAAATATATACATCAAGAATGAGTGAGAACAACAGCAAAATATATGTGTATATAGAATCTTTTCGGATTCCCATTGTTGTCGACTGGAACATTGTGGAACTGTGTGGCAGATCTAGGTTGTTGTTCCCTATCATACCCCTTGTGTTCGATATATACTCTTCCCTTTCCAACAACCACACTGGTTTCTCTCGCGCTCTGTTCTCACGAAAAAGCAACACAATTTAATATACAGAAAATAGACAACATAAAATGGAATCTTACGTGTTGTTTGACTTGGAAAATTTGACGTAATTTGTCGAGTCGACGTTTTTTTTCACAGAAGGTTATCAATAATCATAAATCGCTCACTAACATTAAGTAAAACAATTATTTATCATTCGGTTGTTGTATAGCACCAAATTGGAGGTGTTGAAATTTCAGTTCTCAAATTCAGCGAATTCATACGTTGATATCGGCATTTTGCATATAAGAAGCAGAACGTTAAATCAATACATTGAACATGGTTCTGTGTGCTAGGCAGAATAAACAGTTAGAACTTTGAATTTATACATATTTTATATGCAAAGGGAATTGCGCATCAATTTCGATTACCTCATCCGGGTATTTAACAAAAGGGTCCTTTTGATCGATACATGTTCAAACGTGATCGTTCCTTTAGAATCGATGACTTCACTTCCCCAAAAAAAATATGCGCTCAGCACCCGATTCAATCCCATTTTGGTCAATGTATATGATTCACGGTATTCGAAGTGGATTTCACAAGTTTGTGTAAATCCAAAGAGTCACGTATTTCCACGCTAGATACGACTAATAATTCTTACGTGAAATAAGTGCACGCGGTCGTAATGATGTTTAATGACGGGCCTCTGAAAATAATGGCTCTTCATACACTGTTGCCCTTTGCATACCTTACCGTACATACACTGCGATTCTAATTTTCTTCACAATGAGCGTCTAAACAGTAGTTTTGATGGTGTATCATAACCACTACTTGCATTGAACATTGTTGAATTACATTTCAAGCTACATGCATTTTATTCGAGAAAAAAAATATTATGAATGATTTTATTCGTCTTTAGTTATATTTTTTTATTCTTTTTACGTCATCAAACTTAGATCTAGTTTACTATTTTAGTTTACAATTATATGGGATTTATGAAAGAGAACTTGAGCCATACTCGAGTTCAGTTAAATAGCTTAAAATATGGCATTTTGCAATGGCTCTCTTGTGTGGTGGAAGTCGTTTTAGTATGCCAACTAATGACAGCGCAAAATAGGTCTCTTCATTATTGGCATCAACAGTTTCACTCGATGATACAATTCCATCGGTGCTTTTCCTCGCTACAGGTAATTGTACATTGGTTATTTTCTGAACGGCCGGCTTTTGAATGGCAATTTCTTCCACTTTCTCCGGTTGACTAGATTCATTTGGCCCATGCGCGGTTTGTTCCATTTCAAGGCGCATCTTTTTACTCGCATTTGGCTCCACTTCTTCATTTTCAACTGGCTCTTCGGTATTTTCAGTCGCTTCTTGGCTGATTTCCTCTAATACTATGAAATCGATCTCTTCGTCTTTTTCTTCTTTAGCTGGCTTTCGTTCCAACTCCTTTTTTAGATTCATAATTCTCTTATCGAGATTTGGTTTGATTTGGCTCACATTTGACGATTTTCTCTGTAGCATTTGAATATTTGGCGATTTCTTCAATACAATTACTACTTCATTCTGCTCGTTTGATGATTCAATCGGTTCGGATTGACATTGTTCCGGCTCTTCTTCACTTTCAGCCATCTCAATGTACTCTGCAATTGGAAATTCATTCAAGTTATTCTAAGTTCTATTGGCTCAAATAAAACGCCTGTTCATGGCTCGTGAAATTTTCTAAGTGCTCACCAATTTCTTGCGATGCCGGAGATTCGGTATAAGGATATGGAATGGCATCTCGTCGAAGAATGGTTCGGTTGAATTGACGCCGTAAATACTTTGGATCGAAATGATATTCACAAAACACTCGCCGAAGGGATGCATCGAGGTTTTTCAGCCGCTCATTGCCCGAATTCTTGATCCAAATTTCACGACGATCATCAGTTGGCCTAGAAAAAATCATTCAACGCATTGAGTAAAAATCAATTCTAAATTATTTGATTCGATATAACTTACAAATTGAAAAATGTAATGCTCGCAAAAGAACGTTGAATATTTTGACAGTCCTGATACGAGCAGTAGTTCGTCATTTTCAATGTTTACCGCCAAAATTCATAGGAAAAAGAAACTCCAATTGTTTTCGACCTTTGTTTCGGTAAAACGTGAATTTGTTATTTGAGCTGTCAATTTTGTTTATTTCTAGCAGTTTGAGAACAACTACTACAAATTATTCCAAATGAAGTTTAGATGTGAACGCAGGGTTCAAAATTCATTCAGATTCAAAATGAATCTGGTTGCAATGAATGAATCTTTTTTTTTCTACTTTTTTTGAAATAAAAAGAATATTTAAAAAAAACTGCGTAGAATTTTATTTGTAATAAAATCTATTTAATTTTCAATACATTTTCCGAAACAAGAATTTTCTTTGGGAAAAGAAAAAAACTGGAATGAAAAAACAACTCATGTTACTTCAACATTCAATTCATTCAATAGTCGCAGGCGACAAACTGTTATACGGTCAAAATCGATTGAAGTGCGCAGGGTTTCCAAATTCATATATGCAGCTCTCGACAGCCGCAAAATGAAGCACCAAGAGAGCGCAGAGAATGTGTATGAGAGAGACTAAAGAGAGGGAGAGCGTAAGTAAATGCGTGTGTGTCATAGTAAAGTCGGGCTTCTCCCAAAACGAAAAATAAAAGCACACACATTTTGATTCATATCGCGCTCACAAGTTGAGTAGTACATTGAAGATAAATGAAATTGAGTGAGCGCCCTGCCTCTCTGTGTACACTTGGTTCCATGTAGTAGTTGAAATTGAGTTGTATGTTGTATTGTATTTGAGCGCAGTGTTGACTGAGAATATGCCAGTGAATATGATACTTTCACATATGTCGAAGAGTTTGTTTGAAGACATCGGACAGATAGCACATATTCAAGCATCCGTAGTGTGTCTCGCGAGACTCTAATATTTTGGGTTTCGTTTTTGTGTGTACTGTTTTTCTTTATTGTTTATTTCTTGTATATTATTATTAATTTTTAGTTCCCTGTGTCGCTTGTGTGCCGTGCCCGTGTACAATTTTGTGAATTTTTCGATTGTTGTGTGTACTGGACTGGGTTGTAATAGAAAGAGAAAAAAAAGACGATGCAATCGCGTTTGCAATTTTCCAAACAATTCATATAAAATTTGTGTCATTTTTAACATTGTGTACTGTTGATTCCATCATTTTATCGCATCGTTGGATGAATAACATTGGCATTTCTGTTATTTATCTTGTGTTATCGTGTACTTCTGACAGAATTCATATCTAATCACGGTGTTATTGTTTTGTATTTCTTTACGATTTATGAGTAATTCATGTGATTACGACTGCTTATTTTTCTCAAGTGCGATATAATAATCGGCATAGTGACTGTTCTGTGAGTGAGCATGTTTATTGCAGAGTTTTTGGGAGAAAAGCCAAAAAATATAAGGAGTCAACGAACAGAGAGAGAAAGAGAGAGAGAGAGAAAGAGTGACACAGATATTGTTTGACTTGGACTTGGGTATTTCATTTTGGGTGTGTATGTGTATATATGTACAGCAAATACCCTTTTATCTTGCCTGACCGCTGACATTTGACCGAAAAAGAAACCGAAAAATCAATATGATCGTATTTTAATTGGCAGCGCAAAGAAACGATTTTTTTTTGCCATTCAACAAACTCTTATATAATTTTCGATTTCACTGCGACAAAACCGCGGTTCGTTAAAAGTCAATCGATTCAACGAAAGTCCTCCCGTTTTCAATGTGTGAAAAGTGTTTAATTCACAGACATTTGTCAATTCGCACAATATCGATATGTTTCGCGCACATCTGATTGCTCAGTGACGACGACTTTATATTTGAACAGAATATGTCAGATGTCAGACAAAGGAATTTTGTACGTTCACACATAATAGCAATTGCTTAAGAACAACAAACAACTACCGAATAAATAGCCATAACAAAAATACGAACGACGACAAAGACAACGGCGACGTGTGTAAAAATCGACAGCATCGCACAATAAACCGAGCAAAAGAGATATACTCACGTTGGTGATACACACCCCAAAAAAAAGAGCATACACACTCATTCGGGAAGGAAAAGAACGTATTATGTAGTTGGTTTCGGTAGTCTTAAGCAAAACATTACATATTCTTCTCTTTCGCTGGTCGATGCGCGTAGAGGTAACAAAAACGACAAATTGTGATAATTTGATTGTCGGTGACACGACTGCAACGAATAAAAAGAAAGGAAGAAAAAAAACGAATGAACGAACCCGGCCCTCGAAGCAAGTATTGAGACACGACCGTAGGGGAAAATGATAATAATAACGCACGGTTCGACTAGTTTTTGAACGAAGAACCAGGGAGACAAGAAGAAAAATAAAATAAAGTTATGGCCTAATAAATTTTGTTTACGTTGGAACGAAAGTAGAACTAAGAATACCAAAATGCAGAAGCCAACACAAAATGTAAGTATTAAAATGACTGATTCTCCTTTTTTTACCTCAAATAGAGAGTACAGCACATATATATGAACGAACCGAGAAAAAAACAACGCCTTGGAAACAATGTTTATTCAATAGCGCTTGGAATTTGAATTCCAATTGACTCGATTTTTATACTCAAATCAAACGACAATAAAACTTTACACTGCATTGTATGTATTCGTGCTATGGTATTAAATTGTCTCTCTATAGAAAATGTGAATTCGATCAATTAATAGTCCGATCAAAGAAGACAAAATAGAAAAAAAGAGAAGACTGTGAATAAAAAATGATTTTGTTACGCAGCACCGATTGTTTCCATTCAGGCCCATTGAAATTCATCGCAACGTATTACCATATCCAACAAACGAATGCACACTGCAGCACCAGCGCACTATGTGTATATACACATGAAAATGTGAACAGACTCAAGCGAGAGTGAATGAGTGAGCATGAGGCATGAAGAGGACAAAACATAGACACACACAAAAAAAAACGAACGCATTCGATACGACGATTCACATTTTGAGGGTTTCGAGTGACAACTGGCTGAGTTGTTTTATTTATGTTGATTTCACATGCTAATGTATACAATTCCGTTCGCTTTGCAAACTGAAAAATGGCGGTTACGTGTGCCATGATGAACAAGTATTTTGCGTAATTCATGTTCAATAGACAGAGACTAGTAGTGCAATTCAATGTTGTACTTTGAAGAGCACAACATAATTCTATCAGACCGCGAATGCAAAAACGAACGAAAAACAAAAACAAAAACAAGAATTCGTAAATGCCGTCAAAATAACCCAGCTCATGCATATAGACCTAATAGCAGTAGATGAAGAGGAAGGAGTTGAAAAAAAAAATCTGGTAGCGCGTATCTGTCTAACATGACTATATGCCCACTAATATGAGTTATTCGTTTATTTTGTGAAGCGAATTGAATTGTTAGCATTCAAAAAAGCAGCAGGCAAGCAATACGGCATTTACATCGAACGAAAAGAATGAGAGACTACTGTTGGAGTTCGATTTTTTTTCGTCTTCTCGACGAACTGCACCGTTTTATGTCTACACCATACAAGTCATAGTCGCAGACCGACCGGACAGAGACAGCGAGAACACTTTGCGAATATAAACAACATTCGTTTGCTTTCCATAAAATAATTGAAATAAACCAACGATCGCAAACAGATATATACTCACTTTTTATTGCAAACTTTATGCACTGAACCGTGTGCCATTTTTAAACTGTTGAATGAGAAAACAAAACACGTTCTGATGCACTTAGTTTTTTTTTCTTTGCTCGAATAAATCTCTCAATTTTATTTCATTGCATCCGAATTTCGCAAAGTTTTGAACTATTTTAACATTAAATTACTTTTCACACACATGAAATGTAAATAACAATTATTTTTGAGTGTGATAGAAAATCTTTTTCACATCTTTCTTCAACGTTAAGAAATCGGTCAATTTTAATTTTAGAATATACTATGTGTATGTAGATAATTTTTATTTTGATTGATGTGTATGATTCATTGGAATGATGTAATGGAACCAGTCTAAAATTCCGAGAAATCTGACAGGCTCGTCGATGACATGACGGTCAAATCGAGTGAATTGAGCTCTGATTCATAATCGATGTCGTCGTAAACGTCGTTTTCATCATCCGCGTCGTCATCGTCGATATCTTCATCAGTTGACATTTCCAACATAAAACCATCGGTAAATGTTTCATCGGACATTGTTTCACCGCTGCCACTATCCTCGAATTCTGGCCCAATTCCATAGTCGTCCGATTCCTCCACCAGAATCGATAGATCTGATACTGTGTCCGATTCTGTATCTGAATAGCCATCGCTTCCATCCGAATAGTAATAGACAATATTAGTTTGACCGTACATTTGACCATGTGCAACATTGAGTTGAATTTGGATTTCGTCAGCTCTGTCCCTCAGTTGGTCTGCCATTGCCAGCAATTCATCTCGTGCACGTATCAAAATCTGATGAATCACTTCATGATTCATGTTGACCACTTTTTCGTTGATATTTTAATAAATAACAATTGTAATGACTAAATTGATATGAACCTCTAACCTAATTCTCGGTACGCGCTACCATTCGTTAAAAGCCGACACCACTTCGCTTGAATTGTCAACACCGTACTGAGATGACGTTTAATGACAATTTCAAAAAATTTGATTGATGCCGATGAGCAAATCAATACAAATGTGAACGCATTCATTCTCAAATTTGAATCGATGGCCAAATTTCGGTGAAAATTATTTTCTTCGAGTAAAAATCGTATTTTCAGAATGAAAATAAAATTTGCAAAGTAAAAATAGAAATATTAAAGAAAAACTTAATTGATTTTTTTGCTTTTCAGATTTTTCAATTCGTCGCAATGAACAGTTAGAAGAAAAGAGTTCATTTTTCTCAATTTAACGCGATTTAATGGATAATTTTTTTTCGCATTCCGTGTACAATTTTCCACTGTAATTCTTACGGTGATTTTCATATCGTTATTTGCGGTCTTTGTTATTGTTGCACATCGAGAAAGGGCAATTCAATGTCAGTGCAACGTACACTAGCTACATAATGGTCAGTGTGGCGAACTGTGAACAGCGTTAGAATTATCTGAATCAAGCGATCAAATGCATTAAATAAATAATGTTCAAGAAATGGAAAGAAACAAAACGCCACGACGACAACACAAACAACAACGACGACGACTGCATGCCATTGACTTGGGTTTTGTTGCTGTTTGTGTTGTTTTTTTTGTGTGTTGCAATTGCAAAATGCGGTCCAGTACAAGTGGTTCTATTATAGTTTACGTAGTAGATTAAACGATTGAATTTCGATCTTTTTCTCGCTTATCTCTCAATTTGACACATTTGACAGTGTGCCTCGGAGAACATATTTCACTTTGTCAGTGATGCTCATTCATTGCGTCTGCAGTCATCTGTTGAACGACGAACAAAATGACAAAAAAAACAACAAAGAAGAAGAAGAAGAAGAAGAGACAGTCACAATAACAGAAAAAGACGTTTTTATGCATCATCGTTTCATTTCGTTTCGTTTTGTTGTCGATGATTTCTGCTCATTACTGTCTTGTCTAGGCCTTTTTTGTGTGTGCATGTGCTTTGCTGTGTGCTGTGTTCCGTTGTCATTCGTGATTCCGCGCTTAGAAAATGTTATTATTTTTATTTATGCTATGCATTGGAAGCATCTATGTAGTTTGGTGTGTTGCATCGTTGGAGCAACGTGTGTTCTTTTTTTCTTCTACCATTTCTTCTTCATCGTCGTTGTGTTCAGTTAGTTTGAGTTCAGTTCAATTAATAACATCTGCCGATATCCGCTTCTTGTATTTTGTTACTTCACATACGCTTACGGCTACCGATGAAAACTAAATCCAACAGGCAACAGGCACCAGAATTATGAGCAAGTCAACAACGTGCACAAAATGCATCAAAAGGAAAAAAGAAGAAGACGAAGACAACCAATATACATTCACACAACAAAATGACAAAAGAGATGAGAAAAGAAAAGAACAACAAAAATACACACAACAACGAGAAGAAGACAAAATCTATCAAAATGAATTCTTTCACTTGAACTAAACGAGATACGGTCTCGCCGTTGCACTCACGACACAAGATCATGAACAGCATGCTCGATTTAGAGAAGACCGTTTTGGTTGCGATGTGTTATTTGCCCGCGCAATTCAATCGTTCTATTTCATTAGCTGTTAAATAGAAATGAAAAAGAGGAAATATCATAAGAAAGGCAAGACTAACGAAACGAAACGAAATGAATGAAATAAAAAATGATGATAAAATAAAACGTTATGAAATACTTGTTCCCAGTCCGACAAGCATACAATAGACCAGGAAAACAGAAAGAAAAACTTCAACTAAACAAAAGAAAAAGAGAAAAAATAAATGAAGTGGGTAAAAAAATTCAGACAATTTCTCTATTGCCAACAAATGTCGTTCGATGCATTTGGAACAGTAACAGGAACAGAGTCTCTTTTTCTCTGCTGCCTCTGCTGTGTCCATTGAAAATTACAATGGTCATGCGAAGAGTGTGTGTACTTGAAACAAATGGGCACATTGAAATCTTGCCAACCAGTTTATCATGCACATTGCACACATTCGTCGGAGTTTTAGACACTGCAGGACTCAAGGGGAGGCTGCGTGCCATTTGTTTTCTTCATTTTTTAACAAAAAGAACAAAGTTCGAATCATACCATCAAGATGTGTGCCGATGAGGAATGTAATGTGGCTCTTCTTCTTCTTGATACTGCAATCAGCATGCATGCGGCTGCTGAAAGAAAAGAAAACAAAATAAACAAAATTCTTTCCTTTGTTTTATGTCAATTCCAGTGTAAGTTTTTCTTCGCTGCTGTTGCATTAATTGCACATTTTATTGGCATTTTTGTCCCTCATTACTGTCATATTTACTGAAATAAATGTCCTCGGAATTATCATTTTTGAAACGTGTCGACGATCGCCGAGGCTAAAGAACTCACCGTCATTCTTTTGCCAATAATTATTTTTGCACAGCTTCCTACATTTAAATCCGACTTATTTTTTTCTCGTTTCTTTTTGATTTTTTTATTTTTTTTAAAAGAAAAACACAACAGAATGAACACAGCGATAGAGAAAGAACGAGAGAAAACAAAAACAAACTCTATGTTCTGAAATCATGAGTTCTACTCTATTTAAAGCCACACAAGTTCATATGTTCATGATATTATGTGTTGCGGCAAAAATTAAGCACAACCAGTGCTACTCAAAACGTAAAATGGAAATGTGCTTTAATTCAAATATTTATTCAGAAGGCAAAACACACTAACGCACACCCAAAGCAAGCCTTGTTTCTGACCAAAAACGAGTCAAAATGGCAAATGCGACGACAAAATCAAAAGAAACACACAGAAAAAAGAAAAGAAAATGAAAATTGCGCGGCTCAATTTTTCGGAGCAGAGA